CATCGTCTTCGTTCGCGGGGAAGTGATTCCAGGAAACCAGTCCCGAGCGCCACTGCCCCGAGGCCGATCCGAATCATCAGAACGACGGCCATGGGATGAGGACGATTAATCAGACCAGCTCCGCTACCCTCTCTGAGAAGATGAGACCCGCAACATGCTATTGCCCGCCCCCGCGTCTGATGCGCGTGTGCGATCGCCTCATGCCTGCGCAGCACCCCAATTCCAAGGGCCAAACGGTCCTGCGACAGCTCGGCCCGAATGTACGTCACCCCGTTTCAGAGGCCTCGTGGGCTCCCTCGTCGAGTATAAAAGGGGGTGCTGCTCCCAATGCGCGCTGGCATTCTTGCCCCTGTACCGGAGCATGCGCTCCGTCTTACCTGGAACCCAATTGACCACCATCGCACACAATCGGAACAACATTTCCAGCAACGTCTGAATCGTGCGGTCGAGCAGCAGGGGGAAGCAACCACCAACACGATGCGTTCATCGCCCACGAACGTGGCGTCGATGGTTTCTTCCTCAACGGCGGTTTCCTCCGCTTAGCCCCCGGCCGTGCGCCAGAAGGCCTTCTCCCCTGCCTTCGCGTGTAAGGTGATTTCCTCGCGCCTCAGTTCATCGTAGAGCATTCTGATCGGGACCGACTATCCCGCGTTGAATACCGTCGCTCCGAAGAGGCATCCCTGGCGCCCTCCCTTGTGCGACTGGACAACCGTGTCGAGCGTGCCGTACGAAAACCAAGACCCTTCGTGCAGCCGCGCCACGAGGGAGGCGACTTGAAGGTCGACGCCCCACTGCTCAAACACGCCTCCGCTGGAGCAGATGTAGACGAACCCACGAAGGCCCCAAGACGGCCCCAAGAGCGCCCCAATAACGACTCCAGAGGGCCTCAAGACGACCTTTTTGAGCTTCCGAAGGGGGGGACCTGAATCGGTTACCCGTCGCTTCTTGAGGCTCGGGGGCCAAGATGGCCCCAAGAGGCCTCCCAGACAACCCCAAAGCCAAAGAGGGCCCCTAGACCCCCCAAGCGAATCCCAAGAGGGCCCCACGGGTGCCTTAAATGGCTCCGCGGTGACCCCAGAGAAACCAAAGAGGGCTCCAAGAGACCTACGAGAAAACACTCCCAAGGCGGTTGCTGCACTGCATGCTTCTACACTTCCCCCTGATCAAGGTAACTCGCCTGGCAATCTGTTTCTGGATCGGCTGGTGGGGATATTTCTGTTGTTGTTGTTCTTTTTTTCGCGAGCGTCGCGGTCCAACCGCTCGCCGTCAAGACAGGTGGGGATACGCTTTTTTGGGGGGGTCGCGGCCGCGAGCGAAGAGCGCAGGCGGCGAACAAAATGTCCGGGCCGACGGGCAAGCCTAATTAGCTACAAGACGCGCCGCAAGCCGGCCGGCCCACTCACAAAACAGCCGCGGGGCTGTGCGGGAAGCTGACGGCAGGGGACATCCTGGGAAGCTCGGGCACGTGCAGTCTGACAACATGTCGAGAAATTCGTTGCCTGCCGTGAGGCATAACCCACACAGCGACATGACGTGCACCGGGGCAGACGTGCCCGTCATACTGGGTGGGGGCAAGCGCGAAGCCCGATGAGCGAGTCGCCAGTGGGGCGTCAGGCCCAATCCGTCCCAACGACGTGTGCTGGCTAGGGGAGCTGAGCTGCCGAGGAACGTGGAACGACGCAACCTGCCGGAAGAGGGAGGAACAGGTGGGGATACGCGAGGCGTCAAGAATTCTGCGGGACGACCTACCGCATGTCTTCTATCCGCTGCAGAGGGGGATCGCGGGGGGAAGCAAACAAGCACATGGAGACTGACCAATACCAGACCGCCACAATTCCATGATGAGCTCAAATCTGGGTTGACGTGTCCTCCCCGCCTGGCTGGGAGCCGTTACGGTGAGGGCTTTGAAAAAAAAGAGCCATTGGATAAGGAATCCAGGGTCTGGAAGCCAGTGGGACTCCACTCGTGGGCTGGCAGTGGATATCACTGCCGCGCTCATCAGATAAGGAGTCCTCCGGAGTCTGAAGCCTTCTGGGCACATTCCTTACTCAACGCCCCCACCCAGCATACCAAGATCTGGGACCAAGCTGGGCCTGTCGAGTCTTGGTGGTGCTGGTCAGTTTTCCTCCTCCGAGGGAAGGTGAAAGACGCGAAGATAAGGACAATCATGTGCCCGTTCAAGAACCCAGAACCACGGGCCCAACCCCGCACCCAACGCAAGACATACTCCATCTCTGTGTATGCTTCAAGCCTGGTGGCTCACACAACATGTACATTCTCCCCCTAAACTGTTCACGATGCCAACACCAATTGTCCCAAACTGCCGTGCCTTTCGGCTGCCATCGACCGCTTTCAAACATATGCCAGCAAAGGCCGCGCCGACGTGTACGAATGTGGAACTGCCGCCAGCTCCTTGCTCGACTTCGAAACAACAAGCCAAACGCCACGCGCTGGCAACCACCGCCAAGATCCGTCAAGATCGACTGGCGACTCTTGGTCCCGCTGGCTGCGAGAACGGCCCGCGTCGGAACTGCGTGGCGAGCGAGCACTTGCGAGGCCATGCCCCGCATTTTGCGTGCGACGCGGCGCGCGGCAACGAGGGCTGCCAAGGCTGGCAGGGCCGTTCGGTCTTGAAATCCGTTGCAGTCGGCGAGCCTCTGCAATGTCCCCGTACCGCGGTGCCGCAATGTGAGAAAATCCAACGAGGCACAGCTGCAGCGGAGGCGGGATCTCAATGCGATTGACTCGCGACGGCGTCGCGATGCTGCCCCGATCGATCTGCGCTGGTCCAGATTGATATGCGGTGGTGTCCCGATTGCCTTGCGATGGCGTCCCGATGGATTTGTGATGGTGCCCCGATTGCCGTGAAAGGATGGATGCCCCGACTGGTTTACGCTGGCGTCCCAAGTTATTTATGATACCGGAGAAAAACCCCAATCAGATTTGTGTTGGGGCTATGGGGCTATAGGACTATAGGGCTATAGGGCTATGGGGCTATAGGGCTATATGGGCTACATGGCTATAGGGGTATAGTGCTATAGGGTTATTGGGCTATTAGGGCTATAGGGCTTATGGCTATAGGGCTCTAGAGCTACAGGGCTCTAGGGCTCCAGGGCTCTAGGGCCATAGAGCTATAGGGCTGTGGGGCTATAGGGCTATAAGGCTACATGGGCTATTGGGCTCTAGAGCTAGAAGGCTAGAAAGCTATATGGCTGTGGGGTGCCCGGGCACCCCCGGGCACCTCTGGGCACCCCCGAGCACCCTGGCACCCGGCCGCCCACGGGCACCCGGGCACCCAGCCACCGGCCGCCGAAATCCTGGGGCACCGGGCACCCACGGGCACCCGGACACCCGGGCACCCAGCCACGGGCCACCAAATCGGCGCCCCACCTCACCTAACCATATGAATCCGCTAGGACCCCTACAGAGGCAAGCTCTGATTGGGGAATAATGCTGCCGCGAAAAAACCAGTTAGATTCATTATGATGTCCTGGTGATGTTGCGACTGGTTTGCGATACTATTCAGACTGGTTTTCGCTTGTACCCCCGATTGCGATGGTGCCACGAATGATTCCCGATGGTGTCGAAATTGATGTGTAATGGTGCCTCCGGTTGATGCGCGATGCATTTCGGATGATGTCCCGATTGATCTGCGATTGTGTCCTGATGTTGTTTCGGTTAATTTGCGATGGTGATTGATGTGCGAAGGTGTCCCGACTTGGTTGCGACAATATCCAGATTTATTTACGATGGTATCCATACATAGACTTGTAATTCGGAGAACGATGGTGTAGTCCCTTACGGTAGTTTCTCGACTGAATTGTGATAGTGGCATGATTGAATTGTGAGGGCGCCCGCCTGATCTGTGGCTGATTTGCGACTGTGTCTTTTGATGGTGTCTCGATTGATTTGCGATTGTATCCTGGCTGTCTTGTGAAGGTGTCCCGGTGGGTTGGCGGTTGGTGGACATGTGTATCCATTGCGCACCACATGTGGGTGAAGTGTTGCCGTTGTGAGAACCAAATGCGCGTGTGTGTGGAGCATTGTATGATTGAATCATGAAGAACCCGACATTCCTAATCGGCCTTTTGACCAATATGCTAAGTAATCCGCCGACCCTGTCGGCGTGTGGCGCTACCCGCTCTTTCCCTGAGCCTTCTCCCTCCTCCTCAAGCGCGCCAACCAAAACGAAAATGAGCAACGTCGTAAATGCGTCGAAGGGAAGTCCCTTCCCTTTGATCCCTTCCCCGCCGGGGGGGGGGTCCCGGGGGGGGGTCCCGGGGGGGGGGGTCGCCACCCAGATACGCATCCCCCGTTTGCGGCTTTTGCAGAGGGGCCTTCTGTAGATGCGCTGGAGGAGGGGGGTCGCCACGACGGATCCGCAAGAGAGCTCCTAGACGGCCCCAGCCCCACAAGACAGCCCAAGAACCCTTAAGGACGGCCAAAAGGGGCCCCCAGACTGGTCAAAAGAGTGCCAAAAGGACTCTCAAGAAGGCCCAGAGAGGCCTTCTCCTCCTCCTCCTCCTCCTCCTCCTCCTCCCCAACCCCCCCCTGCTCCCCCTCCTCCTGCTCCTCCTCTGCCTCCTCCTACTCCTCCTCCTCCTCCTCCTTCTCTGCTCCTCCTCCTCATCCTCCCCCCCTTCCTCCTCCCTCATCCGCCTCCTCCACCCTTCCTCTTACCCCCCCCTCCTCCTCCTCCTCCTCCTCCTCCTCCTCCTCCTCCTCCTCCTCCTGCGCCTCCTACCCCCCCACGCTCGTTTTCATCTTCGTCGTCTTCAGGGTCGGCGGCACTGGCCGTAAGGCCTTCGCAATATGACCCGTGTCCAGTATATGTCACCCTACCCTGTGCACACGCTTGCGCGCGAGTGTCAAGCCGAACACTTCATCAAACCATCACTTTTTTTGAAGCCGCACTTGAGCAAACCAGTCAGACATGACAAGCAATAATGTCTGATGCATCTCACACGCTTGTCGCCCTCACGACATGCATGTGCCTAGAGTCAGGACGGAATGATCTTCTGCGAGAGCTCTGCCGATGAACCTGGGGCCAGCTCATAGAACTTTCCCACCATGCCTGGCTCAACGCAGACAAACTCCTTGAAGGCTGGCGGCGGCAAGTCGCCAGGAGACTTCTCTTCATATGGATTCCACACGACCACGTCGCAAGGAACCGCTTGCCCAACAACACTGGCCTCGTTCACGGCGACAACGCTGCACGTACCCGCTTTGCTTCCGACCAAGACGTCCTTCGCACCTGGTTCGGCACCCAAATAGACGCGATCCGTGAAAGACGGTAGCTCAATGTGCGGTGCACCTTCGGTCTTAGTGGTGTTGTCCACCTTGTCGGAGTAGCTGCGCCCTGCCAGGCCCCGGACTGCGCATTCGCCAATGTCGGGGATTTTGAAGTAGGTGTGAAGCAATGCCTGGAAATTGAATGGTGCTGATCCAGTGTTTGTCACCCGCAAGCACATCTTCAAAGACACCGCCGAGAGAACGACCGTGAACTCTAGCGCGAAGGCGTGATCCCACACCTTGCGTGTGTCGTCGTTGTCGCTCAGGGAGAACGTGGCGCAAGAGGCGTCGACGCCGTCCGACACCGACTTCAAAGTCCACATGGCCGTGCGCGCCACTCCGTGCTGGGCCATCGCCTTGTCGGGCTGGCCGAACTGCGGGAAGACCAGCGGCACCCCTCCTCGGATCGCCTTCTTGCCGTCGTAGATCGCGCCGGGGGACACGAAAATCCGCTCCGCCCCGTCAGATGTCTTGTAGCTGCAGAGCGTCGCGCCGAACAAGTAGATCTCTGCAGATGCGCCGCTGACATGGCGAAGCACTACTGTGTCGAGGCCACCTTGGCCTTTGGATGGACCAGAGGTTGCCATAGCTCGACCGCTAACGTTCGGGCGATGGCAGAGGTCCAATGTCCCACCCATTCAAAGTCGGCATTACCTGGATGGAGCCGAAAGTTACGGGAAAGAACTATTACAATACAGTGTAGTCTTGGTGACAAAATGCCCAGAGCAGCTTTTCAGAATACTAAAGCGAGCACTGCAATTAACAACTATACAATGGCTGGACTGCGTTCTGCTCTGCCAGACTGTCTTATATGATGCACGATGTTACGCGATCCTCCCTTATATGACTACGCTGTACTATGCTACACTGCACTATGGCGAACGCTACTGTGCAACACCATGCGATACAATCTGGTATTGGAACTGCAGGGGTCGACAATCCCAGCATTCCTGTAGGCCTACCACGAAATGTTCTTAGAATCCGAAAACTGTTTTAAGAGCAGAAGCGCTGTTCTTAGAACATAAACCCGATGCGTTCAAACAAGGCGGTCTCAGCCAGAATTGTTCTGAGAACACTTCGTAGCAACCACAAGCGGTTCTTGAAAACATTGCTTGGCGGGCCTATAGGCGAGCCAGGGCGCTTCGCCACTGCTCGAGTACGGAAGGCCAGGGGCCACGAGCCACAACCACAGACCACGACCAGAGACCCCGAGAGCAACGACCCAAGACTATGCGAGCCACAACTAGAGGCCACAAGCCACCGCTTTTGGATCGCGCGGCCCACCCGCTGCCCTTGGGAACGATATATCGGGCCCGTACAGACAAGCTGTTTAGGCAATCCTGCCTCCTTCCTCATCCTCCTCCTTCTCCTTCTCCTCCTCCTTCTTCTCCTCCTGCTCCTCCTCCTACTCCTCCTCCTACTCCTGCCCATTCGCGCGCTCGAACTTCTATCTTTTCTTGCCCTTCGAGGAGGGTTGGGAGACTCATCTGCCTGCTCTGCCCACCCTGTCCATGTGGTACCTTTTGTGCCGTCGCACACAAGGAACTGAGCATCTCGACAACCAGTGAGCCTATGCAACCCCCAGCATAGAACTAGACGCGCACAGACTCTCACCTCACTCGGCAACGGGGATGTTATACTATTCAGGGGTGGGCCAGTGCCATGAGAGGAACAGAAGGAGGAATATAATCAGAGTGAGGGGGTCCAACAGTCATTCACTGTCCCTTGGCGCGTGGCTGAGATGAGATTCTGCGGTGCGGATTGTTGTTGTTGCTGCTGTTGCTCTCATGGTTCTTGTTGATGTTGTAGCTGTCGTTTAGTTGTACTTGTAGTTGCTGTTGTGGTTGTTGTTATTGTTCATGGTTTTGATATTGTTGTTGAACATTATTTATTCTAAAGAATAATTATTGTTGGGCCCCCTGGTGCGCGCCCCCCCTGCGCCGCCTAGGCCGCAGCTACATTTTCATCATTTTCGTGAGGAAGCCTCAGAAAAGAGGGTGTGTACAGGATCCGGTTGTTTTGTTGTAATCCGCTTTCCCTTGCAAAAAACAATAGAAAATGACATTTCTTGTTCTAATATAATCAAATTTCAAGAATCCCTTGCAAAAAATAAGGTAAAGTGGACATTCGCGCGCGCAAGACGAAATCTTCCAAAACCTTAGTGTTCGCAGCGATTTTAACATAAAAACATCAAAAAACCAATGGTTTTTCAACAACAAATTGTCAAAATCTCATCCCGCGCGCTCTTGCGGATTCGTAGGAAACCCAACACTTTTTAAACATTTCTGTCAAACGGGCTTTTGCGAGCAACTTTTTCGAACTTCTGCGACAACGGTTGCGCACCTGCCAGGGCCATCATCCCTGTCAAATAATACCATGCGGGACACATTCGTTTTTTCTTCGCGCGCGCACGCGCATGAGTACGTATCATGTGTATCATGTGTATCATGTACCATATGCATCATCTGCAACAGATGTTCTGTGGAAGGCTTAACAACTTCTGTGGGTTAACAAGGCTTAACAACTTCTGTGGGTGTACGAACGTAGGCTTAACAACTTCTGTGGGTGTGTACTCCACGCCAGTGTAGTAGCCACGGTCGTCCGCAGGCCACGAAGTGAAGTGTCCGAACGTCATAGGGCGGGAAGCTGGGTGTGGGTGGTGGCGAAGAGTCGTGTGGATATTTGGTAGAGCTTGCACTGCCCCCCCACAAAGTGGGGGTATTGGCTGGCGTCGCATGAAAACCCTGGCACTGGTGAGAACACTGAGCGTTCGGGTAAAGTGATTGTTGTTGTTGTTGTTGTTGTTGTTGTTGTTGTTTATGTTGTTTATGTTGTTGTGGTTGAACTCCCATTCTTAATTAATAATTATTGTTGACCCCCCCACCAGTGCACATTGCCTTTTTCAATTGAAGTGCCCCCCCCGGGGCTTGCACCTTCTTTTTTGTCAAAGAAAGTCTTCCTGCTCAAACTGGCCCCTGGCCCCCGGGTTACAACAACAACGGCTCCCGCCTGAGACTTCCTCACAATTTAGCCAGGACCCCCGCTCCCGCCGGAGACTTCCTAGCATTTTATTCAAAAATCGCGCTCTCGCTCGGGACTTCCTTACGAATTATTCAGGAATCGCTCCTCCTGCGCTCTGTAGTCGCGCTCTCGCTGGAGACTTGCTTGCAATTTACTGAAGAATAGCGCCCTTGCGTTGGAATTTCTTGCAATTTGCTCCAGCGCCGCGCTCCCGACACCCAGGCACCCAGGAGTCGCGTTCACGCTTAGGACTCCTTCACATATTACCTAGGAATCGGGATCTCGCTGCCCTTCGTGGCCCCGTTGCAGCCCTTCGTGGCCCCCTCGCTTTGTTTCGTGGCCCCGTTGCAGCCCTTCGTGACCCCCTCGCTTTGTTTCGTGGCCCCGTTGCAGCCCCTCGCGGCCTCCTCGTTGCCCTTCGTGGCCCCGTTGCAGCCCTTCGTGGCCCCCTCGCTCTGTTTCGTGGCCCCGTTGCAGCCCTTCGTGGCCCCGTTGCAGCCCTTCGTGGCCCCGTTGCAGCCCTTCGTGGCCCCATATACGTATGCCCTTCGTGGCCCCCGCTCGTTCGCGCCCGTGGTGGCCCCATATGCATGCCATTCGTGGCCCCGCTGTCGCCCTTCGTGGCCCCCTCGCTGCCCTTCGTGTCCCCGTTGCTGCCCTCAGTGGCCCCGTCCGCACCCTCCGCGGCCCAACACACGTATGCCCTTCGTGGCCCCCGCTCGTTCGCGCCCGTTGTGGCCCCATGTGCATGCCCTTCGTGGCCCCGCTGTCGCCGTTTGTGGCCCCCTCATTGTCCTACGTGGCCCAGGTGCTACCCTCAGTGGCCCCATCGTTGCCTTCTGTGGCCCCGCATTATCTGCCCTTCGTGGCCCACGCTCGTTCGCGCTCTTCGTGGCCCCATACGCATTCCCTTCGTGTCCCCGCTGTCGCCCTTCGTGGCCTACTTCGTGTCCTTCGTGGCTCTGCTGTCGTTCTCTCTCGCTCTCGCTTTCGCTCGTCGTCGTCGTCGCCGTCGCCGTCGTTGCCGTCGTCGTCGTCGACGTCGTCGTCGTCGTCGTCGTGGTCGGTCCCCTGTCCGTCCCTCTTGGGGTCGGGTCGACGGTCCGCGGCCGCCCCGCCGATCAGCGCTGCCGCTGGCCAGGCCGACGGTCCGCGGCCGCCCCGCCGCTTGCCGGGGCCCGGCCTGCAGGGAAGAAAGGTATACCCCCCAAAAGGGGATCGATCGAAGACGAAAAGGGCGGGTATCGAGGGTTTGGGAAATTCGTGTTATTCGACACTCGAGCAGATAAGGGCGAACAGTCTTAAAATGATTGTTGTTGTCGTTGTCGTTGTCGTTGTCGTTGTTGTTGTTGCTGTTGTTGTTGTTGTTGTTGTTGTTGTTGTTGTTGTCCTCTTCGTCGTCGTCGTTGTTGTTGTTGTTGTTGGTGTTGTTGTTGCTGTTGTTGAATACTCATGCCTCAATACCAATTATTATTTGATCTCTGGAAACGGTTCCGCGCGCTCTCGCCTCGACGCAGGCTACATTTTCTCTGAAGACGAGGCTCCCGCTCGAGTGTTGGCTTGAGCTAAAATGTGGGCACTTGGAGGCCCAGCTACGACAACAACGGCTCCCGCTCGATACTTCCTCACAAAGTACCCCGAGACACCCTGGTCAGAGAGGCTCCCGAACTCAGGAACGGCGCTCTCGCTCGAGACTTCCTCGCAGTTCAATTAAGTTGGCGGAGGCCCAGCCACGACGACAAGGGCTCCTGCTCGATACTTCCTCCCGAAATACTCCGAGAGTCCCTGGCCAAGAAGGCCCCCGAACTCAGGAACGGCGCTCTCGCTCGAGACTGTTTCGTAATTCAGTGAAGTTGGTGGAGGCGACAAGGGCTCCCATTCGATACTTCTCCATAGGTATTCCGAGAGCCCCTGGCCAGACTTCTTCGCACTTCAGTCAGTGGCCGGCAAGGAAGAGATCCCCTCCGAAAGGAGATGCAATCGAAGACCAAATGGGCGGGTATCGAGGGTTGGGGTATACGGAATGCAAGACACGCGTGCCAATAAGAACGAACAATCATAACATTATTGTTGTTGTTGTTGTTGTTGTTGTTGTTGGTTGTTGGTTGCTGTTGGTTGTTGTTGTTGTTGTTTTTGTTTGTGCTTTTGTTGTTATTGTTGTTGCTGTGGTTGTTGTTGTGGTTGTTCGGTTTAGGTTGTTGTTGTTGGTGTTGCTGTTGTTATTTGTTGCTTGATATTGTTTATTGTCGTCGTCCCCCCCGCGACCCGGCCCGCGAACTGGCCCGCGACGCACCCGCGACCCACCCCACGACCCGGCCCGCGACCCACCCGCGACTCAACCGCGACCGACACGCGACCCACCTGCGACCCGGCCCGCGACCCACCTGCGACCCACACGCGACCCACCCGCCACCTACCCGCGACCAACCCCGCGACCCACCCACATCGCTTTAACGAAAAAATCGGCGCCTGCGGCGGGCTTCTTCACAGCCTCGCAGACTGCCGACGTCCCCGCCGCCCCCTCACTCTTATCCGCAGTCTAGTCGTTATCGTCGTCCTCGCTCTCGCCCTCGTGGACGCCAGCTGGAATATTGCACGCTAGCGTCCCGCACGACCC